ATGCCAAATCCAGGTGGGAATTTGACCGTGGATTTTGTTGTCTGAAAGGTCTAACTCAACCAAGCCAACTTGGTTTCTCAAGAAATGTGGAAATTCACTGATATTGCAGGAATTCAACAATAATTTCTCAAGCTTTGGTAGGGAGGAGTTGCTTGAGTCACTAATCATCAAATTTCTATTGTGGGAAAGATCAAGAAGTTGTAGGCTCTTGAGGTTTCTAAACATGCTTGCATCAACCATTCCACTGAAGTTGTTGGAGAGGAGTAGAAGATAATTAAGATGTTGAAGTTCGAAGATAGAGTTGGGAATTTGACCTTCCAAATTGTTGAAGCTCAGATCCAAATTTTCTAGGAGGGATGAAGATGCTGCATGGATTGTCTTCAGCGCACCACTGAGAAGGTTTTGGCTTAGAAACAATTTCCTTAACGATGGAAGAGTAAACATTGATGGATCCAAAGTTGCCTCCATTGAGTTGTTGTCAATTGAAAGGACTCAAGACTCTGAAGAAAGCCGTGATGGTTGCTAGCATTAATTTTGGTGCTTTTCTTCAGGGTTTGCAAGAAAGGTAGCCAACCCTGAAAATGGTTGGATGAGAGACCAATATAAGTAATTTGGGATAGATTTGCCAGAGAATAAGGTATCAAACCAGAGAAGTTGCAGTCTCTTAAGTCCAATTCCTTTAACAGCTTGAGATTGCCGATTGAATCTGGCAACTGTCCATAGAAGCTGGTGGAGTAAAGTGATAAAAATTCTAGAACACTGTTCTTGGGAAATTCGGGCAAAGTTCCTGAAAGAAGCTTGTTTCCTGATACATCAAGACTCTGCAGATCAGGTAGCAGCATTAGCTTCTTCGGCATCTCTGATGAAAAATTGTTTCCATTAAGGTGAAGTGTTGAGAGCAGTTGGAGTTGTTGAAGTGATTTACATATGGGCCCTGAAATCTGAGTATGAGACAGGCTCAAAACTTGCAGCTTAGGGACTGTAAGACGTAAAGAAGAGCACCACTCACTACCATTTGCTGATATGTTCACGCCATCAAGGTAGAGTTCCCTCAAGTTATGTAAATCTCTAACAAGCCTCTGCAAGTTGGGATCTTTAAGCTTTAAAGAACCCAAATGATCGCAAGAGAGATCAAGGGAGATTAACTTGGTGAGCCGCGACACCTCCAAAGGCACTTGACCTGAAAAACCTGAATTAGAAAGGTTCAGACCTGTCAAATTGGGAAGCAAATCGAGCCTAGAGGGAATCGGTGATGATTGGAAATTATTATCAGCAAGACTGAGCTGTTGAAGGTGAGAAATCTGAAGGAAGATGGTGGAATTAATCAGACCAGAAAGCTCACGACCGCTAAGGTCAAGGCCTATAACATGTCCGGTGAGCTTGTCACAAGTGACACCTTCCCAGGAGCAACAATTCGTCCCAGGCTTCCATGAAGAAAGCAAGGAAGAATCAGATGGAAGGTGGGAAGATGTCAAGTCTTTTTTCACCTGGAGCAAGGCAAATCTTTCATTACCAAAGCAGCTTGGGCCTGATGAAGAAAAAGATGATGGTGGAGTGAATGAAGTAACCTTAGAAGAACTAGGAATAGAGAAAAGCAAGAATTGAAGACATAGGAGAATTACATGAATCATGTTCATCTTTAGAGACAGATAAACAGACAATACTTGGTGGTTGAGGAACTATGAGAAGGCTCAAAGAATTTGTAGTGAAGAAATGAGCAACCATTTCATTACATACTGGTGGTCATGGGAGACCTACAAATATAGGCCGTGGAGAATGGGGGACATCTGGTACAAAAAGTTTGGTAATTGAGACGACTAATTAATTAAAGTGATT